CTAAAGCATGGCTGAGGGGCTACTCCAAGCCCCGGGCCCTCCTGGGAATGAACGTGGCAACCTTCCTGGTGATGGCGTCCAGCCATGTCTGGCCCCAACCTGAACCACCCCAATCAACACCTGGTTGCAACAACAAACTGCCACAACCCCACAGATCCTTGGGACTGTCGGGTTCTTGGCTCATCTCACCTCTGTTCCCCACGACACGGGCATGGCATCCTTTCCTGGGCCTTTGCACCCTCCTGTGGAGATCCTGGTCTCTCTGTGGGAAGCCTGTGGTAGGTGGGCTTGGGCCAGGCTCATCAGGCCTCCAAGGAAAGAGGAGGTGTTGCCATATCCCTAGGAGGGTGGGAACAGGTGGGGAGGGGCAGGTCCTGGGACGAAGATGTGGTTGTGAGGAGCCAGGAGCACCAGAGGGAGTGGGGCAGGAAAACGGAAGGCAGGAGCCCAGTGAAGACAACATCACTGAGCTACTCCCCCCACCCCCAAACTCAGAGACTGGATGGAATACTCCTCTAAGCTGGCCCGCTGAGGGCTGTGGGAGGCGGATTAAACTCAGACTCCCCACAGCTGTGTGGAGGCCGCTCTTTGGAAAGTGCTGATTCCTGCCCCTGGTGCAGGCCAAGTGGGCTCCTCTCGTCAGACAGGTCTTCAGACGAGGGGGGCAGATGCGAGCGGATGAAGCCCGACGTGGTTCGCGTCAGTGCAGACGAGTGTTCTCGGAGTTGCTGTTTAACAAGCTGCCATGTAGCTTGCCATTTTATATAAATGAGGGGACACAAAAGTTGCTCCAGCCCCAGGGGAGCTGTTGGGTTGGGATTATGAGGAAAAGAAAGCCTAGTCCAGTGCCCTTGGGGCCTCGGTGAGTAATCCTGCCCAAAGCCAGCAGAGCCCCGGGATGGATTGCCATTATTACATTCTGAAGAATGGGGACTGACATTCTCAAACCTAGGGACATGTCAGCATTTGAAGTGAGCTCCCCCATGCAAACCCAGGACTCTAGGAAAACAGATGTGGCCCACATTCAGCAGTGCCTTAGAGGAGAGGTTTTAGAAACATCTTCTACCTGTTCTGTTTTTCTCTCTTTATTTTATTTTATTTAGTTTAATAATAGGGTGCATACACTCACCAGAGATAGCAAGAGAGGGAGGGAAAGTGAGAAGTCACTCCCCATGGGGAACCGGCCACACCACAGTCCCTTCTCTTCCGTTCTCCTCTTGGGATTTTGGGCATGCACACACACATGCCCACATGTGCCCAGTGTGATTCTGAAGCCACGGGATCCAGGACCCGAACTACTCAGTCGGCCATGTGGGATCCAGCCGCCTTAACCTCCATGTCACCTGCTAGCTCCCTGTTCTAACTTTTAAATATCACCACCCTCCCAGAGTCCAGGGTAAGAGTCTGCTGATACACTTCCTAGGCATGGAAGTATGCCTCATCCAGGTGACGGCTCAGATGGAAATGAAAGGGAACAGGAAAAGACACTGAAAGGTCAAAACAAGCTGGGAGGGGGCCCATGAAGTTGACCAACATGGTGGGTTCTCAGTTTGGGCCCAGAGACTCCCCTGCATGAGCTAGGTATGCATGGGCTCAAGATGTTTTTTAAATGTCACCTGGTACACAAGATACTTTTCAATAGTTCCAATCAATATTTTAATGTAACATCAGAATGCTTACATGGGAATCTATATTCCATAACCAAAATTGCAAACTGAAAAGAGTATGTATATGCCATCAACATTTTAAAAAAGAAGAGTAGCAGGGGTCAGAGCAGCAGGGATGGCTCTGGGGTGGACTGATTTTATGCCCTATGGGACCTCAGCCTCAGGGTAAGAATAGGAGGTCTGGAAGCTCATCACCTAGGCTTGCCTAGGGATGCCCGGCCCTGCCACGCTCCTCCTGGTTACTTCTGGGAGTGCCTGGTGAGGGCCCCCTGTGCTCTAAGTGCCAGGCTCCATGGTGCCCACCATGTCCCATCCGCCCTTTCCCCACCCTGGCTCATGGTAGTGACACCTGTATCCACCAGCCCAGCGGGGACAGCAGCCCTGTGTAACTGGCTCCAGCCTTCCCAGCTGTGACCTCGGGCGTGAAGGCTGCTGCCCCCAGCCCCAGCCGCTGCAAATGCAGGCTCCCCTCTGCCTCCAGGGCACTGGGGAGGGAGCGCAGTGGGCTCTTTTGGATCCATACACACCCTGGTAGGAAACACAGTGTTTTACACAGTCTCTTCCTGGCAGAAGGATGCTGAGGGAGCTAAAATCACGGACACAGAAGGCACTCCAAAATTAACATCAGGGTCTGGGGCAGGGTCTACTGAGTACCAGAGAGAGAGAAAAGGCCCATTTCTCCCCAGAGCAGATGCTCCAGTTCACCCCAGGGGAAATACTGAACTGTTCACTTACAAATTCCCAAAGATGGCTTCAGCGTGTCCAGGTCCCTGGAAGCACTGGTCCCCGCCTCCCTGTCTTCTGGCCAGTCTCCGGCGTGTGGGGCTACAGGTGCTAACGAGCAGGTCCATACCCGGCTGCTGCCCTCATGATGCGACAAGGCCCAGGCCTTGGTGGGAACGGGAAGGACCAGAGCTGGAGCCCCTGACCTCTTAGCATGCTCCCTGAGACTGGACCGCCAGGGATGTCTGGTAATGCCTAGAGTCAGGGAGATGTCCACACTCGCACAGGCTGGGGAGCAGCCTCAGTCCTTCCTTTACAGCCAGCCACAGCAGCAAGTCTTTGGCCTACTTCTCCGGGGTTCCTGACGAGTCCTCCCCCACGCGTGCAGCCAGACTTCCTGATGCTGTCTGCTCACCTCCAAAACGTCAGGAGCAGCAGTGCTCAAAAGCCTTGGTTTGCAGACCTCGAAGTCCTGGCCCAGACCGTCGGACAGAAATGCTGGTCCTGTTCCTTGGTTCATTAGGTGGTGGTGCCTTCGGTGCACAGTTGCAGGGGAGTGATGCCAAGATGTTTTCTGAGCCAGTAAGGATGGTTCCGTGCCCTCTGGCCCAATGTGTTTCCTTGGATGGAAAAACATTTCAGAAAGACTTAAGGCCACTTACGTCTCTCCCTCGGGCCACAAAGTCAGTGATGCCAGGATGAAGGTTCTCATATAAGAGTGCAAGGGAATGAGGCGGCCATGGAAGCCAGGACTGTGGCCCTGTGTCTCAGGTTGGGACCAGGCAAGCTGGTCAGTGCCAAGGCGGCTTCCCTGACATGGGACTGGAAGCAGCTCAGACCTGCCCATCATCACCAAGGAGACCAGGCCCCGTTCAGGAGCTGACACAGGCTTCTCCTGAGGTCGTCATCACGGTGCAGACAATGAGGCAACAGACGCTGCAGCAGCCGCATGCCGGGAAACCACTGCACACTGGGCTCGGCCACACAGCACAATTCTCTGAGGTCTACAAATGCTGGCTGTCCTTGAGAACAGCTCAACCATGAGAAGATGATGGCGTCAGCTCCTTGCGCTGTCTGCTCTCCTCACCCAGATGTCAGGGTCTCCAGT